AAAAAAACTGGACGTTTCAAATGCTGTTTATTTCATCGCAAAATCGTGTTACAGTGAAACCTGTATTAAGCGGACACCCTCGGGGAATGCTGTAGTGTCCGCTTAATACAGGGTGTCCGCCTAATACAGGTTTCGATATATAACGTCATATGAGGTGTCAAATGCCATTCAAATGAACAGTGGAAGCGTTTATAATACTCCCAGAGACTATGACGATAGACGTTTGCATTAATTTCTTTATTAAAGTGAACCAATTGATCATAGTACCATAAACATGGATTGCAACTCAAATTTGAAGAAATCAGATGAGTGAAACAAGCTCTATACAAACAAAACGAAATAGAAAACAACCCTGTACTGTGAAACTAATCAAATAAGTTCGTCAAGTCACAGTTTTTAATGTAAAAATCGAAAAATTTGTGGGTGGCAATTCGAGTTTCCGGTGTCTGGCATGTTGGGTGGTGGAATTTAATTACAAGTGTCCGTTTAATACAGGTTGGCAACAATAGAAATGGCCCTTTATAGGTACTTTTTAGGTGTCCGCGTCCGCTTAATAGAGGTGTCCGCTTAATAAAGGTTTTATTTAAAGTAAATAAGGGAAATAAATTTGGGGACTTCGGCTACTGTCCGCTTAATAGAGGGTGTCCGCTTAATACAGGTTTCATTGTACTTCCTCTGCGAGAGAACTTTACCGTCTATTGCCAGCAATAATACTGTCATTGTTTAGCCTCAGCTAGTGACTTTTAACTGCTTTCCATTCCAGGAGGGTCTCAATGGGGTTAACCGATAGGCGTAAAACGGCTAAAAATTTAGTCGCTAGCCGTAAAAATTGAAAAATTTTAACCGTTAGCCGTAAATAGAGTAAAAAACAGTTAACCGTAAAAGAAACTGTTTCCTAGATTTGCTACTTTTAAGGGAGGTACTAAACTCACTTATGGTTGCGTTTTATTTCCCGGCTAGTGTGACTCCGTACGTACGTTAGGCGAAGCGCCTTTAAGGTGTTGACCAAGACCAAGGCTCCGTTTCCGCCACTCTCTCGGGGAACTAAGTTTTTCCAGAGCGAAAGTGTCGCTTTTTGCTGGGGATGAATATTTGCGATTTTTAGGAGGTCGTGCCCTCGAAACACTAGTGAAACAACTCGCAGAGATGTCACTGTTTGTAAAACACGTCCCCGATAAACAAGATTTCCCTGTTTTTCTCTGACGCTACTTCCCACGCAATCTCGGTCAAGGCATTTGGGTGGCGAACGCGCTAGCACCACGTGACCCGAAACGCATTAGCTGCGCGGAATAATGAGGCCTACGCACAAGGCAACGGCAGACAGTCGCTCCGTACAGTCCTTCGCTATCATTAAAAACACTGGACACGGGAATTTTGTTATTGGCTGTTTTCACGCTAGAGCTAGAAATGGATTATCCGTCTGAGACTGGCCTGCGTACAGTCGCACCCTCCCCAAAGATGCTCCTTCTCCGATTTTTTTCTGAGGGGAGGGGACAGCCGTACACAGGCTATCTGGAACGGATAATTCCGTCTTCAAACTGTCTGTCAAAATTGACAGAGAGTCAGGCGGATTGTTCATTCAAAATTAAAACTATTCCATTTTCAAATTAAGAAGTATTACCTATCTGACGCAGATCATCAAACGGATAACCCGTCTAACACGAATAATCCGTCTCTAGTGTGAGAACGGCCATTTCTGTTATAATAAATGTCGCGGTCCGGCCTTGAGTTTGGGCGTTTGCGTGTCCGCTTTTGCTTTTTCACAAAGATTATTCTTAAATTGACTATTGACATTTCTATGTGTAAAATAATATTAGAAGTGAAATACTTTATAAAAAGTATGATCTATCAGATGTTAAAAGTTTTGAAAACAATAGCTTGTTTCATCCCGAGATGATCCGAAGACCTTTATTTTGATTTAAAGATACAAAAAATACAGATTAATTAATATTTAACTTTTTGAAACAAAAGAAGTTAATTTTTAACTTTTTTGTTAACCGTAACTGAAAAAAATTAACCGATAGCCGTAAAAGAGCCAAAATTTTACCCGATAACCGTAAAAGCCACCACCCCATTGAGACCCTCTTCCAGTAAGATGTCAGATTGTTAAAATGCACTTGAAATTTCTTTAGCCACGTTTTATCAAATCCAGTCAGATATTATATATATATATATATATATATATTTTTTTTTATTTGCATTCATAGAAAACACGACGCCCGCATCTGTACCAGAAAATAACAACGTTATTTACATTTCACTTGGTGTCACCTCCGCTATTTTGCTGTTGTCGTTCGCTATTTTCGTCTGGTGCTACAGAAAAAGAAAGAAAAGGTTTGTGGACCTCTGCTAATTACATCGTACAGCGTGAGCATACGTAATTCCAGCCTGCGTAGCTGGCGGTTTTTTCCGTGTGTTTTTCATTCAGTTTTAAAAATGGGCCAATTCATTTTAGGATGACCCATTTAAAGGGTTGATAAGGTAGAATTCACTTCTTGTTTTGAAGAAATTTCCCTGCCAGAGCTAATCGGCAAAAAAAACGCGACGGCCGTTCGGTCATTGCGCGCCAAAATTTTAACCGTTGGAAATAGTAAATGAGTTAAAAATCATCATTTTTGTGCTCAATTAGCTCATTGTTTTCTATACTAAAACAATTATTTACCTCAGTGTCGGTGGCTAGTGGTAGATATTCATGACCCCGTCTTTTTTACCTTTTCCCCCGCTGCGGTGCTTGGTCCCTGGTTATCCCTCCCCAGTTTTACAATTTACTCTATTTTTCTCCCGCCTTCCCATCCCTGACATTTTATGGGCCTCCCCCGAGCTTCACGAGATTCTGCGATACACGTATTTCTAGTTGAGAGATTATTTAGTCGCAGTAAAAAGCTATAGCTCTTAAAAAGAAAATGCTAAAACTCTGCATCAGAGGTCAAATCCGGGTCAAATCCTGTCAGATACAAAGACCATAGGAAATCAATACGCGTGAAACTCATTTTCATGACCTCTGAATGTAAAGCAGCTGGCAAAATATTTTAAAATGTCAAATTCAAGCCTCTCCAACAGCATAATTTACCTGCTTGAAAGTAAAAAATTGAACAAATGGTTTCACTCGAGGGAAAAGTCGTGCAGGCCTGCCGCCCGATGCCTTAGTTCACTCTGCAGTGACTTTCAATTACTCCAGAATAACATGTGAAAAGGTCAGTAACCAGAAACCCATATCGATCTGTAGTATAGTGCTTATTCGGTTGACAAGTGGATAAAACCGTAAAACAACGCTTGATACGTCCAAAATATAGGACATGTAGCCTCTACTTTCGTGTTGCTCTGCACGCAGAAGGCGGTTATTTTTCTACAGACGATTGCTTCGCAAAAAAATCCGGCAGCCCGTCTACCAGAAGTGCGACCAATCTGCACGTTTCACATGAAAAAGCTAGAAGAATATCTCGAGAATGTCCAGTGGATTTTTCTAAGAACTGAAAAATTTTTTCACGAGAGATATTCCAAAGTGAAGATGATAATAGACACGTACATCAAAAGAAAAATCTCACTTTCGCTAACATTTCTAATCCATTGTTCATCACCTTACGCACAAGTCTTCTACCGTTTCTTCTTCGTTGTTTTGTTACGAAAAGGCGAGCAAAGACTGCTGGAAAAACGCGAAACACAACAGATTTCCACGCCAATTCGAATCCGCTCGAGGATATTTCTAACCCGCCATGCTATGACGTCACGCTATTGTGTCGCATATTTCACAAAAGTGGAAAAGCTCTGGACTGGTAACTGTACGCGTGAAATCGGTTGTTTTTACAAATAAAGTCGGGAAGAACTCTCCATATTGTGTGGGCGTTTTTAATAAAACAATTATTCCACTCGTGCTTGTTGGATATAAGATGATAATAGCCAACTCAGCGCTACGCGCCTCGTTGGCTATATCTACCATCTATATCCAACGCGCACTCGTGGAATAGTATACAACTATCCCCCGAAAGGGGAGGTGAATGGTAAACAACTATCCCCTGAAGTGGAGGTGAATAGTGGTAGGTAGATATATATCTAGCACTGTTCACCAACCCTGATGGGGATAGTTGTTTTAGTATTTACCAAATCAGTTGGATAAAAATGAAAAACTGAAAGTAACCTTATGTAAAGTAAAAACGTCACTTATAGGAACTTTGTTTACAATTTACAAACATTTCGGTGATTTTGTCGAGTGCATTTTACTATTTTGTTGCAAATTCAGTATGAAAATAATTTTCTACCTACCAGTAATTATATATAAATACCGACAAGCCAAAGTTCGTCGCTTTCTTGGTATTTGTTTGTACGAATGCTTCATTTATCGCTCAAATTTCGTCTTCCGAAAATGTCTCGAAACGAGACGCCATCTTGGCTCTTGCCGCAAAACAGTGAATAGCCAAGGATATTCTGAGTTACGGGAGCCAATCAAAACGCGCGAAAATTGCTATTCACTGATTTGAAAAATACTAATGGTGGTGGGGTACATACCGAGACTCGAACCGTTGAGGTATATATTTAGCGTTATGAACCGACCCTGAGGGGGACAGTTGATTTAATATTTACCAAATCAGTTGGATAAAAATCAAAAAGGAACTTTTTGTAGATAAAAGACGTCACTTAGTTAGATTTTTTTTTACGTTTCAATTGACATCGTTTCGGGGATTATTTTTTATGATTTTGTTGCAAACTCAGTAAGAAATTTTTTTTTCTACCGACCAGAAAACACCGACAAGCCAAATTTGATCTCTTTCTTGGTATTTGTTGGTGCACCTGCTTCATTTTCCGCCAAAATTTCATCTTTCGAAACTGTCACGAAACGAGAAGCCATTTTGAATCCCATCCCAAAACATTGAATATCCGAGGATATTCCGAGTTACGGGAGCCAATCACAACGCCCGAAAATTGCTATCCACTAATTTGGTGAATACTAGTTGTTAATTAATATTGTGCTCAGCGTAATAATCCTGCATCAATTTTTTCCTTTTTCTAGGTCACCTTATTTACAACTCGAGCCTACTCCTCCTGACAAGTGGGAAATTCTACCTGAGCAAATACACTTTGAGGAGGAACTGGGGAGAGGAGAGTTTGGTGTTGTTTACAAAGCAACATTTAGAAAGAGTGATGAGACGGAGGTGTTAAACAATGCGGAGGCAGCACATTTGGTGGCTGTCAAAGTTTTACATGGTAAGAAATACTGTTATTTCTATAAAGGGGAGACATAGCCAAAGTTTTTGATTTTGCAACTGCTTTTCAGTCTTCTTCATACTAAGAACCCTTTTGGATTTTAACTGCGCTTTTCAAAAACACGCGAACTCTGAAGTTCACAATTACGTTTTTCGCTGCCGTCAATCATAAGTACATCACAAGCAACGAACCTTGAAACACAGAAACAATCAAAACGGATCGAAATCCACCAATCACAAATCACAAACCATGACCTTTTGAGCTCGTTCAAGTAAGCTTCTGTTTCCTAAGAGCTCCGCTAAGATGATTGACGGCAGCGAAAAACGCAAACGTCAGTTGGCGTTTGAACTTCAGAATACGCGTGTTTATGAAAAGCGTCGTAAGTAACTCTTCGGGAACTTTTAATAAGACTTCAAAGCAAATGTTATAGGAAACAGAAAAACAAAACTCGATTTTTCTCGACGACGTGATATTAAAACAAATTACACCACCTTAAGGGATTGCCTTGTGTAAGATAAATAGTTGGTATTATCGAAGTGACGATCTGTGTAAGATATATAGTTGATATTATCGACGTTAAGAACCACTCCGTTACTTAAAATTTCCAAAGTAGGTTTAATTTCTCAATCATCTGATTCTGGCAGCTAAATTGGTTATCTTTAAGTGTAAATTGAATAATACCCATCCTTCTAATCCTTCTAAACAAGCCTTCTAAGTCAAGATTAAGGCGCTTAATCAAGTAAAAAAGACAATAGCCAACAGGAGGAACAAACTGACTACACATTTAAGGAAAGGGAAGAGATATTTTGCCATTTGTAAGCCATAGAAGGGGTGTTCCGCATATGCGTCTCACTTTATGTTTACATGTAAGTTTATGATTTATAAAAATTTGCATGTAACACTGATGTCTAAACAACTAATAATCTAATTAGCGTATATCGAAATTTGAAATTTGCTTGTATGCTTTTTGTTTTGTGTTTTAAGAAATTTGTAGTTTCTATTTCACCATGTAAGTGTGAAAAAAAAATTAACAAAACCTGTTAAGTTCCAAAAAAGTAGGTTTAAGCCGAAAAGCCCTAAACAAATACATTTCTTACAAATTTACATTTCCTAAAAACAAAAGAAACTGTAAATTGAACCACAGTAGCCTTTGGCACATTATTCTTTTATTTTTTGCTATTATGCTAACGCTTAATGCTTAATGCTCAAAATGTGTACTAAATTATGTTCTTTTGCCCCTGCTAAAATGCTCGAAAGTTCCATCAATACATTAAATAGACACAAAAATTTCAGTTACTAGAATGTATGTGTTACTCTTTTGTCTGAGCCATCCATACTGGAATACCAAGCAAACAAAACGGCGGCTGCACACGCTGAACCACTGACCAGTATGAATTCGAGCATTGACTAGACCCAGGCTCTCACTAGTTTTGGCTAGAAACCTCTGTAAATATATATGTTTTTCGGTGAATTTCATCACTTTAGACAAAATTTTCCTTTTTAATGATACAAAAATCTTGCTAAAATGCTGGCATTTAATGCTCGATGCTTTTGCCATGCTATTATGCTCAAAATAATGGTAGCATAATGTGCCAAAGCCTAACCTACAGATAGAATTAAAGCCAATACTGAAGTAAGTCCGGTTTTAAAAAAAGCTAGTCTCGCTGCAGACGTCCTTTGGGGTTCGTTCGAACTCCAGTGGACGTCTGCGGGGAAGCTAAAAAAATGCAAGCTCTACTCAATATTACTACTCCTTCTGAAGGATCGGATACATATAAAGAGATTTTGGCTCCCCGTTTTGTAATCCATGTCGTCCAGTTTACATCGCAAGTCGTTTGATAACGAGGAAAAGGGAATTAAAATTATGAAACTGAGCTACGACATCACCAAGCTGACGGCTAGACCCAGTGTGTGAGCGGGGTCCAAGGGCATGATTTTTGACCCCTTTATGTGTGAAATTGGCTCTAAAAAACGTGACACAGGATAAGGTTTTGCTCTACCTTGTACTAGGTCTGTATTTATTTTTTTGTACTTTATTGTTGGTTTGTTATTCATTTATTTCGCGTTTTATGAACAGCGGTTTAGGTAATGAGGGAAATCACATGGTCACATCACACCACCACCCGATACTCAGAGACCTACCGGTGCAGTAGTAAACTGAAAATAGTAACAAATGTCTGAATATTTCTCGATATTCTATTACACGGTAGAATACGTCTGTATATACCCTTGTGCATTAGAGGATGTGTGGGAAGCGGTAAAAATGGACGAATATGTTTTTCAAATGAAACATTTTGCACTGAATAATACTGAAGAATAACAATAATAAAATCAATGTCATTTTATTCAATTATCTTTAGATAATCCATCTGAAGCACAGAGAGAAGAGTTCACGTTTGAGATTGAGCAGATGAAACTCTTAGGTTCACATAAGAACGTTGTATCTATGGTTGGATGCTGCACGCTTCAGGAGAAAATGTTCCTGGTTATAGAATACGTTCCCAGTGGTGACCTGCTAACGTGGCTACGTCGCAGAAGAAAAAAGGTATAAAGGACATGAACAATTATATAATTAGTTTATAACGAAATTATCAAGAAACAGATATAGGGAGGCAACATTACGAATATATTTTGGTACTATCAGAACATTTTGTACAACTTATTTAAGCAACTGCAGTTACTTCAAAATTATAAAAGCATTTAATGATAATACTAACAATAATAATTATATAATAATTACTATTATTATTATTATTTCAAAAGTATTTTATCCTTGGATGTAACAACATAGGGATGGTATTAAAATCCTCCTTACGAATCTTAGTCCATAAAACCTGGTGTGCTTCGAATTAGGGGCCGTAATCTAGTATGGAGATAATAACTTTTTGACTGTAGGATCGCTTGAAGCCATGCAGACGTAAAGTAACGTTTTTGTTACTTGCTTGATGTTTAGATCGAAGGACGTCAAGCTACCGAGAGATGTTATGCTGACAAAGAGGTTCTGAAAGATCAGGGAGAGACCAGAGATCATGTAGGCTTGTATATAAACTGTAGTTTTACTTTCCGTACTAGCTCTGTCTTAAATGGTCTATCGAACATAGAGTTACAATTCTCGGCTTGCACTGTCACGCAATGAAAAATAAAAATGCAAACCATTCAATACAGAAGGACTAGAATCTGGGAAATGAAAAGGGATAAATATACAAAAACCCTTGCCAAGAATCAGGTCTGTGAAGTATTTCAAATGCGAGATATTGGGAAAAACGGTTTACCTAAATTTATAAAGCGTTGTATGGAAACGCCATGTTGGTGTCCCTTTCAGGAACACCAATATGGCCGCCGGATACCAACAGAAACATCTGTTTTCGAGTTTTCCTACTAATCCGTGAATTCTTCGCTTGAGGAACTCGTTAATATTACAGTAATATTTATTCTGAGACAAGGAATGTTTAGATTGCAAAATCTCCCAAAATCGGTAATGTTTTTAACCCACGTAAGAGCTTTCCCGACCGCCAGCTAACTGCCGGGTCACGCAGAAGCCTGGAAATTCAAGCGTCCTCTCTCGCAAAACGAAGAACCCTTTCGAACCAAAAATTTGTTTATGTAAAGGTGTTTAGGTACTGTAATACCTCGTGAAAGTAGAAACTCAGGAGAATCGATAGTTTCTTAGTTTGATTTTGGTGACGTCACGTGCAACCCAAGAATAGTTCTGGTTGACCTATTGTAGCTATCTAATCTACCCATCCGATTGTTGTTGAATGGTTTGCACGTAACGTAATCATACTTCAAAATAAAGAATTATTTATCCTTCTAAGTTTCAATTTAGTGAACTATTAGAGCAGCTGAACAAGTGTATTTCTACAAAGTTTCAGTTCGAAAGGGTTCTTCATTTTGTGACAGAATACGTTTGAATATTCTAATATATTGGGTGACGCGACAATAATGGGGCAGCAAAAGCTGTCACGTAACTGTAAGTTAAAGAGTGACATCTTTTTTTTTAGAGTTTTTTTTATCTGAACAGTCCTTGTTTTTTGAATAAGTATTGAGTTTAATGTTTATGAGCTGTCTTGAGATGAGTACTCGCTTTATGGCAATGCTTCTGTTAGTTTTCGGTTGCCATATCTGTGTTCCTTACAGGGACGCCAACATGGCTGGCGTCTCAAAACAAAGCTCTATAAATTTGGGTAACACATTTCTCCGAATACCTCGCAAACAAAAAAACTGCACAGACCTGAATTTTAGCAAGACTTTTCGCATATCCCTTAGATTCCTGATCGAATTTTTCATTTTCAGACAGGTCAGTAAACTTGCTAAGAAACTCATGCTTACCTCCATCGATCCATCGATGCTAAGTTTATCTTCGATAGTGCACGTTTAGGGTCGGTTCAGCTCCGAAAATATTCTCCAAATAGCAGATGTCGCCCTTCGAGTTGTCTTCTTGTTGTTCTCGCCATGTTTTTAGTTATTTTTTTTACCTAGTTCTTACTCTTGAAACGAGTGAAATGTCTACCGTCTTACAAGTTCACAACCAAAACAACTCAACCTTGTCCCCAGGTCTTCTCGGTTAACGGTGCATTAACCCGCAAGAACGCTGCATTTTTGACGTCATTTCCTCGCTAAACACAAAATTCTTCCACATTTTGTCATCAGTAACTGGTTATGGTGAATTAAGTGTGTGCTTTTGGCCAATCAGAATCGGGGAAATATTTTGAATGAATAATAATCGATAAAGAGCGACTGATTAAATTGAAAATCGATAAAAATTAATAGGAGAAAACGTTGTTGCTAATCGATAATTGTCGACTTTACTCGATTTTTATCGAAGTTTTCGATTTTAATCGGCCGCTTACTTAATCAGGTTAACATTGGCAAAGAACGTTGTTTCCGAACACAAGTACATTATTTATGTGGCTTTGGACGGTTAAATTTGTAGCGAAATTTATTTCACAAATTACACTCAATATTCTTACTAAACATTTTTGGCCAATCGACAGGATAAAAAAGAGTTATAAACAACTGTTTTAGCTTGCCTGCACTGGAAACTGCTCAAGTTGAGCCCTACAATGTATATAGTTCAAGTGGTGAGGATAATGTTCAGTGTACAGTTTTTCAGCAAAACCCTTAAATTGCTTCCTCAAAAAGGATATTGGAAAGGATCATTTAAATCCGGTTCTGTAAATATGCAAAACATAGTAGATAATGAACTACGCAACTAAATGGAAAGAGAAGTAGCGTGACCATAAAACATGATAAAAATGTGAGAGAAAATCATCATTTAAAGCAGAAAACATCTGCGTATTGCTAAAATAATTTTCTTTAAAATAATGCATTATTAGGTTTTTGAACCTGAGAGGCAATCGATAATATCGTTAAAATAGTTAAAAACGATAGCGTTGACAATAGATTTTCTGATATCGGTTTTATCGATTGCGCTAGTCAGGTGTAATACGCAAAAGTTGTCTCTTTATTTAATGATCTGGGAACCGCGAAGCGCCTCTTTATGAAAGAATTAGTTAACTATAAAGACGTTTAGAAAAATCAGAGAGAGGTTTGGGATCAAGTAGGCTTATCATAAGACTAAATTTGGTATTGAATATTTTACTGATCAGGCTTACTAAACATCCAGCTGACCCTCACTGGTTTGTCGTTGTGGTTCTGCCTTCAAAAGTGTTTCTTATACCACAAAACATGATATAGAAAAAAGTTGTTGCTAATCGATAATTATCGACTTTAATCGATTTTTATCGAAGTTGTCGATTTTAATCGGCGCTTACTTAATTAGGTTAACTGCGTGACGCGGCATTTACATGGTAGCCTGCGAGCAAGCTCTCCAGGGCGCTCTGGCGGCGGAGCGGGAAAAGGAAGGAGAGCTTGCAAATACGTCTCTGGAATTTGAATTCTACCCCCAATTCGCCTGTGGCTCCCCGTCGACTGAGCTGTCAGATTTCCGCCAATCAGTGCGAAGCGGAAACGAGCGCGATTGTAAACAAACAAACACGTGCCAAGGGTAATGGCGTCATTACTAATGTCATCTCTGCCAATCAGCATTTCGCATCGACTTATTCATTTTCCAGAGACGTAGTTACAAGCTCTCCTTCCTTTTGCCGCCGAGCCGCCAGAGCACCCCAGAGAGCTTCCTCGCAGGCTATTTACATGGTGGACGAGACAGCTGCCATGGAGGCTGAAAAAATGACTCTGTTGGGGGGATTTTGCTATCTGAATGGTCGTTGTATTAATGTCAATGTTAATGAGTTCCTCAAGAGATGAATTCACCCTATGTAGCACAACTCCGTGACACATGTTTCTGTTGGTTTCCGGCCGCCATGTTAGTGACCATCCGGATGGGCACCTACATTGCGTCTCCATCTAAAACTCTATAAATGTAGGTAAAAAAATTATCCGAATTTCTCGCACATGAAAAATTGCACCGACCTGAATCTTGGCGAGGGCCTTTGTATATTTACCTTCTTTCATTTCCCAGATTCTAGAATTTATCTATTACACGAGTTTGATTTTTATTTTTAATAGCGTGACAGTGAAAACCTGCAATAGCGTTACATTTTTTCAACATGTAAATGTCATCGCCATTTTGATTAATCATTTAGTAAAGTTTGGCTGATGAGTATGAAGTTAAGGAGGATCAACATTCTATACACCAAGACCAAGAAGACATTGCAGTGTCTCCGCAACAAAGCAACAAAGATGCTGTTCTTGAAGTGATTCCATCGACTTCCACCGAAGTAGATGTAAGACGAAAACAAAAACACCATAATAATTACTTATTCACTAATAAAGAAGAATTTGCCTCTAGGGCGCCTTATTTTGCTTACGTTTCACGTTAGAAGGACACAACGTGATCTTGGTTTTCCTGTGTCACTAATGTGTTTCGTCGATGGTGTACCTTTCCTGCGCTGTCTTGGATTTACGTTTCAGCGTCTTGTTTTTATTCTCTTGAGCTATTTTCAGTTGCGGGCTTGTGACTTCCAGAACGACGGCTGATATAAGGAATCGTCTAGTAAAATGGTGTGTTTGTTGTTTTTAATCAGTACCACGTGTATCAGAAGGTGGCCGAGGCTTTCTGGGTAAACATCAAACTGTGGGCACGGATTTTCATCCTAGACTTGAAAACAGTACCTTGGACCCAAAGTAAATTTTATCTAGCTCTAGACTGGTCACTTTGAAGTTACTTTTAATAGATAATACTTATATATTCTGTGGCTCTTGTCTGGCTCAAGCAAATTATGTTACTTTTATCTTTTTATCCGTTAGTTACTTACTTACTAACAAGAAAAGTGATTACTTGCAAGCTGTGCTGTTTCAAACTAAACCAAAAATTTGATAGTTATTTATCAATTTAATTAGGATGAGGAATTCAAAGTGACTGACAAAGAACTTCTAACCAGGCCAACGACATCACTAGGAAAAACTCAAGCTTCTGCAATGCCACTTTCATTTGAAAACCTAGAGGAATCAGGCGAGGATCCTTGTGTCGTAGAGGAGAACTTTTCCCAACAAATGTTTTCACTTGCCTGGCAAATAGCCAAAGGAATGGTAATTATCTTCTTTTTGTGGATAATGTTGCTGGGATTCTGATTCTGAGTTTAATTTGGAAAGACGAATTCAAAAGTCAATATTTCATAAACATGAAATAGATGGGATAAATATATTGGCTGTTTTTCTAGATTTGAGTACATTAAAACGGCTTATATGGAAAAAAATTTCTTTTTGGTCGACCCAGTTTTGGCTAATTCGATTCGTTATGCATCTAAACATAAATATTTGGATCAGATCGGTGCCGATATTTACTTTTCATTTGTATTTTTTCATCTATACTTAACTACTTAGTGTTCAGCAGGTGGCCGAGGCTTTCTGGGTAAACATCAAACTGTGGGCATGGATTTTCATCCTAGACTTGAAAACAGTACCTTGGACCCAAAGTAAATTTTATCTAGCTCTAGACTGGTCACTTTGAAGTTACTTTTAATAGATAATACTTATATATTCTGTGGCTCTTGTCTGGCTCAAGCAAATTATGTTACTTTTATCTTTTTATCTGTTAGTTCCTTATTTACTAACAAGGAAAGTAATTACTTGAAAGCTGTGCTGTTTCAAACTAAACCAAAAATTTGATAGTTATTTATCAATTTAATTAGGATGAGGAATTCAAAGTGACTGACAAAGAACTTCTAACCAGGCCAACGACATCACCAGGAAAAACCCAAGCTTCTGCAATGCCAATTTCAACCGAAAACCTAGAGGAGTCAGACGAGGATCCTTGTGAAGTAGAGGAGAACTTTTCTACCAAACAACTGTTTTCATTTGCCTGGCAAATAGCTAAAGGAATGGTAATTATCTTTGTTTTCTGGATTATGTTGCTGGGATTCTGATTCTGAGTATAAATTGGAAAGAAGAATATTCAATATCAATATTTTATAAACATGAAATAGATGGGATAAATATATTGTCTGTTTTTCTAGATATGAGTATATTAAAATGGCTTATATGGAAAAAAATGCCTTTTCGGTCGACCCAGTTTTGGCTAAATTCTTTTCGTTATGAATCTAAAGGTAAATATTTTGGATCAGATCAGTGCCGATATTTACTTTCATTTGTATTTTTTCATCTATACTTTGCTACTTGGTCTTCGGCGTACCCCCGTTATTATGTTTTGAGATCATTTTAATCGTTTTTTCGTTGCTTATTTGTTATTAGAATCATCTCGCCGAAAACAATCTTGTTCACAGAGACCTTGCTGCCCGTAATGTTCTTGTTGGCCATGACAACCAGATCAAAGTGTCAGACTTTGGGTTGATGAGACAAATCTATGAAGATGTGAGCAGCTCAGCGAAGTCCAGAAAACTTCCTGTAAAGTGGATGGCCCCTGAATCACTTTATCAAGGGGTTTACACGACCAAAAGTGATGTGTGAGTGATGAATTTTCCCGCTCCATTGACAAGAGAACTATTGAAACTCTTCTACTGAATCACTTCTGAGAATTGTAGTTGCCTTCAAAAATTACAGAAGCATATAACTCTGAAGCGCCTAAATCCCCTTATTTTTTATAACCATGCTAGGGTTTTTAGCCGTCCAATTAGAAGCACGGAAAATTGTTTGCCCAAATATGGAATCATAGTATAGAAGGCATCTCTGTCGAAATATATAGCTGCTAAAAACGGATTCTTCCAGTCCTTAACAGTTTTCCAATTACACCCAAAACTCAAGAGTACACGCATTTTTAGGCTGCTCCGTGGGCAGCAAACAAACTATAAATGCCGTGAATCTGTACATATTTATAACCTCTGGTTTTTCTCTTCGTTGGTCTTTTGGTGTTGTTCTTTGGGAAATGGCTACCTTGGGTGAGTGGACAGTCATTTTGTAGTTTATAGTTGTCATGTTAAACTTGAGGTGACTGACATATCAAAAAAGCATTTTTCATAATCTGTAACTCTTATCGACCGTAGAAATGATGTCAAAATGTTGAAAACTCATGTACCACCCGCAGGATAATGGTTTTATACTGCAATGTTTTGAGCTCTCCAAGGAAATTAAGAGGACCGTGCCTTAACCCACCTTCCCCACTTTGCCATGGTGGGATGTGGCTTAACTGTTACGATTAAAATGGCCTTGTCGAGTTTATATCAGGACGAGTGACAATCGACTAAGGCATCTTTAATAGAAATCTATCTAATGGAAAATTGCATGTATTCAGTTGCTGATATGTAATCATTTGTTTTCTTTCTCGCAATTTTCAGGAGGCGTACCATACCCCACGCTGACCAACTCAGAGTTGTATCGACTGCTCTGTACTGGTTATCGCATGGAAAGGCCTGACATGTGCTCCGACGACGTGTACGTTTCTTGATTAGATTGGTCTTAGATTTAACAAACAGATTCGATTTTTCTGTGTGTCTGCTCAGTTACATTTCACACCGAACGGCGCAGCATACGAATTCGTCAAATATTTTAACGCTTTCTTTGATCATATTAAATACTGACCAGACGGACGGCAGGGGAAAACTTTTGATGGGATCCTCACTCTTTGAACAAGGAAACCCTCCATTGGCCTTATGGTCAATAAAGGCATCATTAGTAGTGATTAGGTTAATCTCTTTCCTGGGTTCGGGGTATAGGAATTTTGCTAGTCGAAGTATATGAAAGGGTAGGGAAATCTATCATTTCGGTCCGTAAAATGACTTAAGAGGACCAGGTAAGAATTTCTGTCTGTGAAAAAGTCGAGAAAATTTTCTAGTCTGTTATTTATTCGTATTCAAAAGGAAATACATTTTTCAGCAATTAAAAGGGACAAAGTTAAAGTTCTTTTCTTTTACATAATAATGGCTGGATGAAGGAATAGGGAATCGCGTGATAACCAAAACGTTCCAAGAGCCCATTTTAATGGGCTTTACGTGGAAGCTTCACCCAAAAGGATTGCCTTTTTAGGCCACATGTATATGGAAAGGTAGGAATTTCACGAGCTAAAATGTTTGAAATGATAGGAAATTGTGTAACTTCGGTAATTTACACTAAAAGATATTTTAAACAGAGGTGCGTTTATTGTATGCTTAATGTTAAGGGCTTAATGGCTTAAAAAGTGAAGTAGTCGTACCATTTTTTCAGGGTAGGCAGGAAAGGAATGTATACGAAAGGGGTACCTTTTCTGTCATGAAAAATGCTGTATAAAAGGAGTTGGACCTCAGGGTGAAGCCTCCCTGTAAACTCATGAAGCTAAGAAGCCTATACATTCTACTAAAAAAATTTCTTTTATTCCAATAGACCTCTTTCGCTTGTATGTTTTGTTTTGCCAATACAGTTCATGTCTAACGGTCAAATTCCCCTGGGACCTCCTTTGGGAAATCAAAACATACACACTATAAAGAGGTCTATTGACACTGTCTAATAATTGACTGGAGCTCTACTAAGCATTGAATGGTTCTTTTTTTTCTCCATTCATAACAGATATGAGCTGATTACTGAATGTTGGAACGAAGACCCTTACATTCGTCCCAGTTTCTACCGTTTGATCGAAAAAATGGAGGCGATAATGGAAAGGGATGCAACATATTTGAATGTAAACAAACACAATGAATATCATCCGTATTACAACGTGTCTCCTGAAGCTAGCGCTGATTGATATGGAGAAGAAGGAGCATCCCCAATAATCGGACAGTTTGAGACGGAACGAGTATAAACAGTAAATGCATAGTTATTGACTTAGAAACTAAGCTAAGAAAATACTTAAAGAATTAAAACAAACATAAAAAGAGCTTTAAGCATTAAAAAAAAAGAAAGAAAAAAAGTGTAACGGTAAGGCCCTTCAGATGTTATCAGGAGCCCATCACCCAGGGATGTAAATCTCTCTTATAGCGTTTTTAGATTTTAACTAGGCTATTTATAGATTAGTCTTTCAGGCCAAGAAAAACGGGACTGAGTAGGACTTCCAGCAATCAACGGAGGAGATCAAGGAAGTATAAAGCGATTAAGGTTTTAACTGAATGACAAACCTTAATAGTTAGCCACTATCTGAGAAGATCAACCGCCATGTTGGATTGCACCGAAGTTGTTTTTAGTGCACAGCCAATAACGAGTGACGTAATGTCTTACCCTTTCACCGACAATGCAATGCAAAAGAGGATGATATCTGGTTGCCAAAGTGCTCGTCATTCAGAACGTTGAAAACTTTCGGGCTGAAACTAAATTTACAGATTCATTAAGCACCCACAGATTTATCATATAATAACCATTTAGTTTCTCTACGGGCTCAGATTTGCAATTAAAACAAACTTTTTTTAATGTTTTCAGAAGACAGTTATCGGGTTAAGTACCCTTCTTAAAATACAAAATAGCATTAGCTCTAGCCTTTCGATGAGATAGTTTCATGACAAAAAAAACGAACCTTAAAAAAGAGAGAGAAACAGAGAGCCTCAAAAAAGGAGAAAAAACTTTAACGAAAGGGCCTTAAAACATCCAGCTTCGTAATTTAGGATACAAACAAAAAAGCTGTGATCCTAGCCTCAGCATTTGTAAGGTGAAATCTCGCTTATAATTAGATGCCCCTGGGTTTCAGGGCAGTTTCAGGGACAAAAGTGTTCCTTCGGTGGGCCTCCCGTGGCTTTAAACTCTCAATAGAGTATAGGGTGACTTAAAGTCAGTATATACACGAAAAAACCTTGCAATGGTTGGAATGAAGAATTACCTGTCTTGTATATTCACTGGCATTCCTCCACGGACTCCACACTCCCATGCTACGGTGGAGTTTCAAAGGACTTCTGACTACAAGTTACCCTGTATTTATTACTGTCAGTAGTGTACATTATAAACAAAGGGGCTTAAACAAGAATCTAGGGATTACATATTTAACTATTGTTTTAACGCTTTGCAAAATCCTTACGACATATATAGACTGGCTGAAATACCTGTAACGCTATCAGTATGATTAAAATAACATTGTTCCGCACTTGGCTTGCTTTATACTTTAGCATTTCTCATTTCAAATTAGTAATCATGTACATGGTTTGACCAATGAATGATTGCATGACCTGATAAGTCATTAACGTCGCGGTACTCCTTTGTTTGTCCGTCAGTTAAGCCATGGTGGCCTAGGGTCATTTTTTTTTAAAAAACTAAAACGTCCTTTGTCATAGTTATATTTTTCATTACATTTGTCGGCAAATTGCAAGTTACAATAACAAACAAGTATTCGATACATCCTTGCTATTGTTTCCACGTGGTCTAATTGATTAAAACAAGAAACGCCTAAGACCCTTGACCTCGGTGGCCATGGAAGAGCGTACAAACTTGTAGGCATTACTCAAATGTAGTGATTTTACTGGCTGATCACCAATCGCGTCTCCATAGATCCCTTTTGGCCATGTGTTAAGTGTCCTGACGCGTTTTTGGTGCTGACCAGAGAGAAAACGGGCTCTTGAGACGAGATTGGCTGATGACAACAGCCGCAAAGAATCCAACAAACCAATCACAGCTGTTATAACAACTCCAAAACAATCAACTTGTGCCATGAAAGCAAAAACAAATTTCACTTGAGTGCAAGAAATGTTTGAGCCAATTTTAAGCGCAGTGATGTCAAATCAAGCGCACAGTCAATAGAAGGTACCCTGGATGCCAGACCTCTTCCCGCTCATCAGCGGCGATGGAGAAGCGTAAAGAGCGAAGTGCTAAAGTGCTGGCCCCAGTTGTTCAAACGTGGATAAAGCTATCCGCTGGTTAAATCTTTATGTAGTGGATAACGCAATTAGTTTCCCTATAACACTCATCCACTGGATAGTGATTTATCCGGTGGATAGCTCTATCCATCGTTTGAACAACCAGAGCCTGGTCGGCGAGAGATTATTTCTTTCTCTTCGCTTCGCGACTCGCTTTCGCGAGTTCCAATGGGAAAAAACCTCTGTCGCCCTGTGTGGTTTAAGACCAAATAACGTTTTGGAAGGGCTTTTTGGGTTAATTGCTGGAAGAAGGAGCTCCAACACGTTAACTATATTTACCTCTTTAAACTATTATTTCAAGTCATTTTCCGCTATCATCTCCTCAGCCCTTCCCCGCCAATGCTCATATGACTATATATTGGTTGTCTCATGGTATGAGGGAAACTTTAAGGATTCAGCGTAGTCTAAGAAAATAGACTCAACGGAAAGCTTCATTATTTTCCCAAGGGATTTTTTTCTTGACCAGGGCAGGGTTGTTGAAAGGTGGGTTAAGATAACCTAGGGTTATTGCGAAATGTGAATTCAGGTATGGAATCGAAACTTTAAAAGTAATCCAGTTTAATCTTTTTTGCATGTGATTTGCTAATTAACTTATGCCACTGATTTGTTAATCGGATGCTCTAAAAAGAATAGAGAAAATTATCCCGGAAAATGCTTTTTGGACTTTCCAAAAAGCCCTTCGTCCTCTCATGACTTCGTCGCTCGCTTGGCCACTTCGCGGCCTAAAATTAAGTCTAAAAACAGTGACCCATATCTGCAAACACAACAAGCATTTCTTGAAACACAATATATTCCTGGAACACAACAAACATTTTTCCAAACACAACACGCTATTAACCAAACACAACAAAGGTTAAATTTATGGAAACACAACACAATAATATCCAAACACAACACGATATTTGCAAAACACAACACAAAATTCTCCCTACTACGTAATGCAGGATTTGTTACAAAACAAAGCATGAACCCACATTTACTCAACGGCTGAATGGTTATGAGCCTTCCCCGCATGTGCAATCTGTCGCAAGAATGGATGTGTTTTTTAAGCGCTTGAACTGATGAGAAGAGCTCGAAGGAAACTCACCAATACTACTCTAGATGTGGAGAAGCCGTAAACAAAGAGAAGGTTCTCATACATCATTATTTTCAGCGTGGGTTTGATTACTCGGTTATATTACTCTTTTTAGAACAGTACCATGCATCGGAATGTCTATGCGTACTTGAACTATAGGCTTCGCGAGTACACGGATTAGAAGGAGGAATACGAACACTAATGTTGGCGAAATTTATCAGGCCATTCAACAAGGATTTTGTTTTGTGTTTTGCAAATGTTGTGTTGTGTTTCAATAATCCGTGTTGTGTTTCCATAAACTTTTGTTGTGTTTAGTTAATACCGTTTTGTGTTTGGAAAAGTGTTTGTTGTGTTCCAGGAATATTTTGTTGTGTTTCAAGAACTGTTTGTTGTGTTCGCAGATATGGGCCACCGTTTTACGCTAAATGCTTTTGAATAAAAGGAAAAGAAACGCGGATTAAAATATAACCCCGGATTAGCGCTAATCGGCCTTCGAAGAACTGGGCCCAGAAAATTAGCACGGTTGTTTTTATTGA